GCTCGTCCGATTGTGCAGATGCATTTGTTGGTGCGTGTGGTGCTGCTAGAGTGTTCACCGTTGATTGCTAACGCGCGAGTCACGTTCCGCTGTAAGCATCGCAATTTCGAGCGCCGAATCTTCGAGTTGGCGCACCAGACGGTCGAGTTTCTCCTGCGTCAATGTGGCGAGCGTGAATTTGGCTATGGCGGGGGTGTCGGGCGAGCTCAGCGAGAGCCTCAATCGTGGCCTTGCGTGCTTACGAGAGAGCACTACGAGCGGCGGTGCTGTGTCGCTGAGGGATGTCTACCCCCCCCAAAAATTGAGATAGTGGGGAAGCGAAGGTGTGGGTGCGGTCCGAGAAGAGGTCGTAGGCTCTGATACCAAGTGTTACGAGTGCAATTGAGTGAGCGAACGTGAATTGCACTATCGAAGCAAGATTACAATGAGCGAAGGTATGAGCGAAGAATATATAGCGAAACTACAGTGGTAACGGTAATGGACTGTGGTTGTCGCGTGACGGGCCTGGGACTGAGGTTGGGAGAAGAGTCGAAGCGGAGGCCCGGAGCGCGGGTTACTCGCCGAGCCGTGAGGTCGGGGTGCGACGTGCGAAGATGGCGGGCGGATTGTTGATGCGAGGATTGCGAGTGGTAACGGTGCTGACTATGGTGCTACAGTGATGTACGCGTTGAGCAGAGATGCGAAGTAAGGAAAAGGGATTTTCCTTACAATAAACAACTTTTCCCTTAACATAATTGCACTCGTGGCCTTGTGCTGTTGCCGTTGACAAGGTGTCAGCATCAACCTACATTTACTGCAAGCAACGTCATCTTCTTGTGAAACATTAGTATGCACTAGTCAATACAATGCAAATGGGACATATCATGTATTCAGCAGATGTGTGAATGCCACAGACAAGCAACTCAATTGTGTAGCTCTGTGAATGCATTCCCACTAGTCCTTGTTCTTGAAATGCCAACCTTACAGGGGTCCTCTGAGAGCTCCTGGGTCACACCGAGACAAAAAAATGCGCCAAAGTCCAGTTTTTCATCGCATATTGGCCGGGACTCCTTTTCGGCCCCCCCTATGGTACACCACCCGAGTGTAGACCTGGTGTACCTTTAAAATTGGACTGCATATAGACACGGGCCAGTACAGCTGCAGCCTGAGAAGGGGTGAGGGCAAGGATACGTGTGAGAAGGTGGCTGAAGCTTTGGGAATGTTCTGTGGCTGCACAACCAGTAGTACATGACACCATATCAGCCAGAGCATTGTTGGGATGCGCGAGGTTCGGGGACATGAGGTTCGGAGGCTCTCCTGCGGGAGGCTTGGCGTCTAGAGGATTAGTGTCAAGAGATGCGGAACTGGGTGCCACAGAGGTGAGAGGCGCAGTTGTCAACCAAGCAAACGACGGCTTGCCAGACGAGGCATGATCAGCGAGTTGTAAAAAAGCAGACGGTTCCGACGCATTTGCTGCTGTTGTCGGTAATGCCGCCGATGATACGAGTGACAATGAGAGAGGAGGGATCGGAGGAGCCGCATCAGGAGGACGGGAAGCAGGAGCGGAAGCACAGGCTTCTGAAACGGGTGTTACTACACCCGTGGAAGAGGAGGGTGTTAAGACTGTCGACGCAGTGGGTGTCCCACTGGGCAATGCGGAAGCAGTGGCCAGGAAAAGGGAAACGTGAGACGGGGGCAGGCGAAACGTGGATAACAGTCGAGGGACACCACCGCCCTCTTCCCGATAAGCATCCCGAGGAGCGTCCCCTCTTCCCAATTCAATATCGAGTTTGCGCGTTTCTTCCCCTAACCTTGCACCCTGCGCTGGCTGATCCAAGGCAGGGGTCATCCAAACGTCGAGCAGACGGCTGGTTGCGGGCCCGACGGAGGGGCTATCATGATCCAGCACAGGGCTTGTTGACCTGTCCGTTAAAATCACACTGGTCTCGAGACTGGAGATGTTGCTGCTGCCACTGTGGTAACCACTGGGATAACCACTGCGCCGGCCATGATTGCGGCGGTAACAGCCCTCGTCGCTGCCGTTTTTGGCCTGAGAGCGAGGAGACGCGGATGGACCGAAGCTCACAGAGTCCTTCGCCGGGGGGCTCGGCGAAGCTCCAAATTCACCGTCGGAGAACGATCGTCGCATTCGCTTGCTCCTCTGCTGCTGCTCCTGCTGCTGTGGCTGCACTTGCTGCGGCGGCGGTTGTTGTGGCTGCGGTTGTTGCGCTTGCTGCGGCAACTTCTTCTGCTGCTGCTGATGCCGCCGTTGCCGCAAGGGTTCCACCTCCAGAGACTGGGGCCCGCCCGCCATTCCTGCGACAGAAGTAACGGCCCCTGCCGCCGCTGGCGGCGGTGTTTCCGCCGTCAGCTGCTTCCCCTTACGCTGGCCGGAGCCCACGCGGACGTTGCGCAGACACCCCCCCGCGGTCCAGTAGCGGTGGCAGGCCCGGCAAAAGTGACGCGGCTGGTTCACATTGTAGTTGTTGTAATAGCAGAACTTGGTGTCGCGGCTCGAACACCGCGGGCACGCCAGCGTCGCTGGCACTGGCGCCGGAGCCTGCGGCGGCGACAGCGCCGGCGGAAGCGGCAGAGTTGAAGGCGGGAGTTGTGCGGTCCGCTTCGGGGGATTGTGCGGTTTTGTCGGCGCCGGAAAGTCGGGGGTAGGTTGAGCAGCACGCATGGTGGTGGTGAGTCTCGTGGCGGATGGTAATGTGGCAATGTTTTCCGCGCCGCGGTCAGAAGGCGCGGCGTTATAATGTCGAGCGTCACTCGGCGACGAAGCGCCCGTGGACGGAGCACCCGACGGCACGAATTGCTCTGACGCCAAATTGTTAGCCGTTGGCTTTTGAATAGTCCGTCCGAATAGCCGGAATTCGTTAACTCCTTCCCTGGGAAGTAGCATACTGGCCGAGGCTCGGGAAGGACTTTGTTCGGCGGAAATGCAGAGAATCATGTTACGGGATACGGCCGCGTGCGCTGCCGCAGTGGTGGCTACCTACGGGAATTCAGGGTTCCGTAAGTGAAGTTTGTGGAATCAGGTACGTTGTTATCAGTCGGAGGAATAAACTAAGAAGTATGGTAATGTACGGAGAGGAAGGTTAGGACCTCGGACTGACTATTGCGCTGACTCAACGCTTCCGTATGACTTTAACCGTTGCGAGAAAGGACGGCTTGAAAGTGTGGGAGGATGTTGATTCTCATGGAGGCTGAGTTGACTCAGGTATCGGAGGAACATGATGCTGTACGTGAATTTGAGTTTTTTTTTAATTCGCCTCTCGAACGTTCTCATGAAGCTGCGATTATGGGTTCTCCTGATGCGACATACTACGTGGAGGGCAGCGCTGGGGCGAAGCCAGCCACAAGCATGCATGCAGTCATGCGCGCACACATAAGGACGCCTGATACAATCAGATGCAGTAAATGCAGCTTGAATGCGTGATCGACTGCGTTCTGGTCCTGGGAAAGGTAAGGCTAGCAACGCACACGGTGTATCTTGGAACAGAAGGAAGCGAAGCAAGGCAAGATTAGTCCCAAGAGAGGACTTGATTTTGCCCCATTCACGTGCTTGCTTCTCTCCTCGCCACTCAACTGCATTCAACGTGGGTGCAATCAAATGTCGCATTTGGGCTGAATGCGTCTCGAACCAGAGAAATTCACAGCTCGGAGAGGGGCACTTGCTTTTCGACACAAGCGAGCCGAGGCGATCCATAAAAATCTGTGCGACGGATGGAATGACGTGGATTTTGCCTGGCGGGAGGCCCTCCGCCGCAAATGAAGGTGGCTCTTGAATGGCTGTCAATGATGCCCCCACATTGAAGATTTTATAAAAGGGGATTAGCGGACGGAAACTAAACGAATTCTGGGCCACCACTCCGGCGACTCTCAACTGACAAACCATGATATTTTCTCTACACCCTTTTTCTCACTACACTGAACTGTGCTGAACTGATGGAAAACCTAGTTACCTTCGATTTGTCTGATTGAACCATACCTAGACTTAATCTAACCACCGTTAACCGTGCTTTTCCCATCTTGACTTCACTATAACCGATTTCACTATGGCGAGAAAGAGGGTGTACCAACAACGCGGGCACAGCCAGTGTCCGTGCTGTACTGCCCGAACTTTGTCAGCCGAAAATGACCACAAACACAAACGGAAAGCACAACTCGAAATTCTTGGTGCTCTTTGTAACCGTGATAGTTTTGTCTCCTTCTGTGTACTGTATAGTAAATCACTTGCAGTCATCGGTTCGCTCCTCTCTGTAGAGCAGGGTTGCGTTTGAAAGGGGAAAACTCCGTTGACAATTAGTTCCTTTTTGCCACTTGGAGCATCGCTAGATAAGTAACGGCAATAGAGTGGCGAGTTTCATTATTTTGTTGCAAATAACTCGTTCGCCCTACAAAAATGCAAAAGGCTAGAAAATTAGGCCAGCATTCCTACGGGCAATCATGATGCATATCATGATGCATGCGCATACAGGCAAACCACGTTTGTCGGAAATCGTTGACTGTCGCAAATCGGAGTTCTGTTCAATGTGGACTTTCTCCCATCTGAACTCTTTACTGTACTGCAGCTTCTGGCGGGTATAAGTGAGTTCAAGGAAAGAGCGAGCCGAAGTTTACAACAGTTATCTTCCAAATGTTCAAAAACAATTGCAGGTGCAGTGAACCATCCGAACCAGTAACTACAAGCTAGCATAGGATTGAACATCTCCACAACATACAACGCCCACTGCAGACTTCCCTATCCACTCCGCACCCAATCACGCGGCGACAGGTGGCAGCATCGCAACGGCGTCGGGGATGGTCAAAAGGAGGAAGGGCATCTTGGTGAACTTATAGGCACGAGTGTGTGCGTGGAGGGTACTAGAAATGCAAGCACATTACACACGAAAAAATCATGTTCCCTGACTTGAATTGCAGGCCGCAGCACAATCTTTCACAGCACTGTGCACATCCAAACCTCAAATCTACACAAAACAAGCCCATTCATCCATTCCTACTCGGCGCCGACTCGTTTAAAACGCGGGGACCGGAGCGGCAGCGGCAGGAGGGGGGGCAGCAAAGGCATCAGGCACAGCGACTGGGAGGGCGAGCTTGTGCGGCTTGGCGAGGAAGTCAGTGAACTCCTGGAAGGGCGTCTTGGTGAACTTGGTGGCGTGCCAGAGGTCGGGCGTGAGGAAGGCGTATGTGTTGAGCAGACAGGCGAATGTGGCCTGCAGGAGAAAGAGGTGGGGGAGGGGGGAGGGGGCGGGGGGGGAAGGGGATAAAGGTGGGGATGGGAGGGGAGGACAGAGCATTAGTAACAGGAACAACATGCCAAGGGTGTGAACTCCTGGGAGGGCGAGCTTGTGCGGCTTGGCGAGGAAGTCAGTGAACTCCTGGAAGGGCGTCTTGGTGAACTTGGTGGCGTGCCAGAGGTCGGGCGTGAGGAAGGCGTATGTGTTGAGCAGACAGGCGAACGTGGCCTGTTGGGGTGGTGAAAGAGAGGGAAGGCAAGGGGAATGGAAGGTAAGGAAAGGGACAACAAGGCTTTGTGGTGTGCCAGAGGTCCGGCCTGAAGTTTAGCGTATGTGTTGAGCACAGGTGGCCTGTTGAAGAGACGGAGAGGCTAGTGATGCATGGGCAACTTGGTAGCATGCTACTTGTTGGTTGTGAGGAAGGTGTATGGGGAGGTGCAACGGGGCAAGAGAGGAGATGGGAAGGGTGGGAAGGCGGGAGGTTGGGGACAGATGAAGAAGAAATGGGTTGTAATTACAAGACCAGAGGTGATTAAGTGGGAGAACCCACAGTCTTGCACCCACCACGCTGCACAGACCCCCACTCCCTCGCATTGTGCTGCACCCACCCCCTTGCACTCCCCTGCACCCATCTCCCTCAACTGTACCCATCCCCCTGCACCCATCCCCCTGCACTTTTCACGGAGCTGCAGGGACCGCATTGCAGCAAGCCCGTGCAGCAGTAACTAATCTAACGGCCCCAGCGCACTCAAAAGCTAATGAACGACTCGTAATGTAAGCGCTTTTTTCTCCCGGGCTATCTGGGACGAATCGGACGGCCCCTGGCTCTTCAGAAGTAGTCTGACGGCCCCTGACTCTTTGAAAGTAATCTGACGGCCCCAGGCTCTCTGGGACTAATCTGACGGCCACTAGCTCTCAACGAGTACTGACGCCCCCTTTGTATATCTGAGACTAATCGAACGGCTCCAGATTCTCTGGGACTAATCTGACGGCCCCTAGCTCTTTGAGACTAATCTGATGGCCCTGGCTCTCTGAGAATAATCGGACGGCCCCAGGCGCTCTGGATTAACCTGATGGCCCCTGGCTTCCTGGAATTCCTGCACGCTCCCTGCACCATCCCCACTTCAATAAGTGTCAGGCACTAGGAGCACCGGATCACCAGCAGCAGTTCCTCCACACGCGCGAGGAATTGGGAGGGACAGAAACACCACCACAGCACCACAGAAACACCACACTCTCCAAACCACGACGCCACACTCATCACTAGTAACACCACCACAGCGCCACACGAACTGTTGTCTCAACTCAAAAGTCGGCCAAACCACGACGCCTCATTAATCACTACGGCCTCGCATTCCCCACACCTTGCATCTCCGCAATACGCGACATGTACTGGGCGTCTGCACCTGCTTCTGCCACGACTGCCACGTCTATCACACCGTTATCTCTCGTCCCTTAGTCGCCACACCTAGCAAAATACGAGCCCGCTACAGAAGCGAGAAATTGCACTCCACCAGACGGCCCATAGCCAGAAAACCTTCTATCGCTTCTGCCCGGCACCACCAGTGTCATCGCCTTTCGATGAAGGCGTCAAGAAAATACTCCCGTCACTTAAGAGGCGCCTCGAAACGCGTCTATAATCTACTTCGGTCACCATCACCGTCACCGTACGAGAGAACCTGCCTTTGTTTCGCTCAGACAGCCTACTACCGCTGCGAATCGTCACTTCCGCAACTCTCGCTGATACCGACTTCGAAACCCTGAACCTCGTCCAAGTGACCACCACGCCCAAGACGAAGCTTCCAGAAGACTTCCTCCCCTTTTTTCCTTCCCCTTCCACTGCCCGAGGTCGCCCTGGCATTCTGCTATACCGCTGCCAACGATCCCTATAACCCCCGTCCAAGTAAACCTTTCGCTATTCAGACACAGATATTCCCAGTTTATCTCACCTTCACGAAGTTTCCAAGCGTCTTCGTGGAGCCGCGGGACGAGGTAAAGACGTCCTCGATACCCGCGAACTGCAGCACCTTCTTCGGCACGCGAGCCGCCACAATCCCGGAACCGCGAGGCGCGGGGACGAGGCGCACAGTGACCGAGCCGCACTTGCCAGTGACCTTAGTAGGCACCGTGTGGGGCTTGCCGATCTTGTTACCCCAGTACCCGCGTCGCACGGGGATCACGGAGAGCTTCGCAAGGATGAGCGCGCCGCGAATGGCGGTCGCGACCTCCTTAGCGCACTTCACGCCGAGCCCGATGTGACCGTTGCAGTCGCCGACGACGACGAACGCCTTAAAACGAGTACGCTGCCCGGCGCGCGTCTGCTTCTGCACGGGCATGATCTTCATGACCTCATCCTTAAGAGTCGGCAGAAATGCCTCGACTATCTGATGCTCCTTAATCGGCAGCGAAAAGAGGTAAATGTGCTCGATGGACTTAATCTTCCCCTCCTTTACGAGGCGGCCTAGCTTCGTCACAGGAACCCATGCCTCTTCCTTATCGTCCGAGCGTCTGCGCCCGCGCCCGCGGCCCCTGTCCCCGCGGCCCCTGTCGCCGCGCCCGCCGCGGTCACCGCGGTCGCCGAATCCGCGCCCGAATCCGCCCCTGTCTGCCATAACTGTCAAATTCGCCCGAAAGACGGAGCGAGACAAGGGAGAGAAAGTGAGGAAAGGAACGAGGGAGGGAGGTCGAAAACCCTAAAAGCGAAGAGGGTGAGCGAGAGAGGCTTGGCGGGGAGGAATAGGCGAGGGGAACGCAGAGGGTGTGCGGAGAGGGGGGAAAAGCGCGGGGAAAGGGTTGAGAGGGGGGGGGGGGGGGGGGAGGGGGATGCTGGGAGAGGCGAATGGGTGCACACTGCAGCTGGGAGCAGAGAGACTCCTCAGAGGACCGCAAATTGTACATCTTTGTTGCATTTTCGAGTACTTTTTATTCGTAGCGAGCCGAGTCCTTGTTGCGCGTACGACTTCTGATTTCCAGCAGCAGCCCCGCCACCCAGCCGCACTTAGTTCCCGCAAGCAAGCAATATTAGTTCCCGCAAAGCTATTATATTTGCGACCGTTTCTTGTTGCCGCGACGCCTTGTCACCACTTGTCGCAGAGGCTTTGGATCGTTGACAGCGTATATAGAGACAAAAAATGTTTTCTTAAACGATTAAGCTACGGTTAGGCGGTTAGGTCAAGACCGCGAGAGCTTGTTAGGTTGAAGTCCGTCGTCCCAAGGTTAGACTGCGACATGGACGACGATCCTATGGCTGGCGACGGCGGGTCGCTTCAGCGAATGCCGACGATTCACGTTCGCGAGATTCGCGAGCGGTTTATGAAGTTCGAGCTTCGCGATACAGACGTGTCTGTCGCAAACGTGCTTCGCCGAGTTATGATGGCCGAAGTACCCACCATCGCCATCGATCTTGTCGAAATCGCGAACAACACCTCCGTGCTAAACGACGAATTCATCGCACACAGGCTAGGCCTCATCCCATTGGTCAGCGACCGTGCGATGTCCATGAAGTTCTCTCGCGACTGCGACGCGTGCGACGGCGACGGCCCGTGCGAGTACTGTGCCGTGGAGTTCACTCTCAACGTCAAGTGTACGGGAGATGAAACGCTGGACGTTACAACTCATGATTTGATTCCATCATCGAGTGATGACAGTGACGACGCTGTCCTTCCTGTTGATTGCACGAGACGAATTGAAGGGGAGGACGGCGAGGAGAAGTAAGTAACCAGGTCGAGGCAGGAGTGGATGTAAGTAAGGGGAAGAATGACTAAGGGCAAAGGAGGGATTTAGCCTAGCACACTGCTTATTAATTGAGCCACCACCTCCACCCCACCCCCCCCCCTCCCCCACTCCCTCCCTCTCTCCCTCCTTTTCTGTTGCTCATTGATGTGTGTAAGATTTTCTTCGATTCTATTCCAGGCTGCATTTGCCCAAATTGGCACAACTTCCTTGTGCCGTCAGCCGTTTACAGGCACAAGCGTCATGCCATGGCCTTCTGAACGCCCAATGGTCTCCTCTTCTCTCCAACTCCCCCCCACACAATCCCTTGCCCCCCACCCCATTTTCCTGGAAGTGCCTAATCCCCTCCGCCCTCCCATCTCCTTCCATTCACTCACGAGGAATCGTGATTTTAAAGCCAAGGAATGGCCAGGAGGTCCGCCTGTGTTCTCTTCCCCCACCCCCACCCCCCTTGCCCCCACAAACCTTTCCGGATCCTCCCTTTTCCTGTCATTACCTCTTCCCCAACCCCACCCCTCCCTTTCCCCTCCCCCTCAGGGGAATTGTGATTCTAAAGCTGAGGAAAGGCCAGGAGATCCGCCTGCGTGCGATCGCGCGCAAGGGCCTGGGGAAGGATCACGCCAAGTGGTCGCCGGCGTCGCCAGTGACGTTCATGTACGAGCCAGAGATCACCATCAACCACACGCTCATGGATGGCATGACCCTGGACGAGAGGCGCGAGTGGGTGGACTCCTGCCCCACGCAAGTGTTCGGTATCGATGAACATGGACAGGTGAGGTTTTGGTGCGGCATACAGATGTGCTCGGTGCGGCATACACATGTACCTGGTAGCAACATGTCTTACAAGTCGTTTTGGCAAGAGGTTGTTACAGTCCCCTTTTTCCAGCCTACCAGATGTGTGGAAAGCGTGTCATTGTTTAACTTGGGCCATGGCTGTCGTGGCTCTTCCTGTTGGTGATCATGTTTCAGGTTTATGTCGAGAATGCGGAGCTGTATGCGTATGATGATGAGGTAATTGTCAAAGCAGAGGAGTTGGGCCGACCCGGTCTTGTGGAGATTCGGCCACGTCAGGACAGCTTCATTTTCACGGTTGAGTCGAGCGGAGCTTTATCTGTAGAGAGAATGTTTTTGGATGCCATAGAGGTTCTTCGGCAAAAGATTGAGGGAGTGAGGCTGTCAGGGGACGGGGATGAGGGTGATGATGATCATTTGGCCACGTTTATGCGCCGTGGTTAGCTACTAGGCTGTTCTAGCTTCTCATGGGATGCATAATCGTAAGCTTTTATGTATGAGTGTCTATGGTTGCAAAACTGTACCCTATGCCCTACTCTTCAAAACTATCAGGCGAAAGCTACTGTCATGTTGTTAGTGGGACGTAGAGCACCCCATTTGATCTGTTGAAAGCTCCCCAGAATCCCGGATCTCCAACGCCTTCTGCGGTTCGTGGAACGTCGGTCAGCATCCTGGGCACCCCCCAGGTGCACCATTCACCACAAGTATTTCCACGTGTGCTGCCAGCAAGTCAAAAAGATCCCGTTGAACCTGGGTGACTGGCCCTGACAGGCTGCACTCTGCGAAAGTCTTTCATTCCATCCAATCAGGTCGATCAGGTTTCGCCCCCGTTCAGTGATCAACCAGTCCTAACATTGCACCTCAGCACGCAAAGCCGTGGCTGAGTAGGTGTAGGTAGGTGCCTGTTCGGCTCTACCCCTGCTTGTGCGATTTCTTCTGCAGTTATTATGTCACAGTATTACTGTTAGCATAACTGGTATGTATACTCAAATCCTCCATGGCTTCACTCAGCTCCATTGCTTCGTCGCGTAGTCGCTCCGTTTCTGAAATCTCCCACTTACGTCTCAGTGAGTCACAGCTCACGACGCAGAGACGTCCGCAAGTGCTTCCTCGTCTTTCGCCTCTTTGCCGGCCACTTCTTACACTGCTGTTCCTCGAACCCCTTTGAGAGACTTCTGGAAACGGTTGTTATTTACGGCAATACATTGTTGTTTCCTCATTCGCACCTGAGCAACTTCGACAAAACGCTACGCCGCTCGCATTGCAAATCTTAGATTATCGCCTGTTTGGGACAGACGAAGTTGAAGTGGAACGAAGTCCGCGCTTGAGTTATTACAAACCGTGACCAGCCGGCAGAAGCAGAAGCAAGCTAGGCAGCAGTCTGAATTTTTTGCTTTAAAGGCTAGCGACCAGCACAGCAGGCGCATTCACCATGGTTCACGAGACGCGGCCCGAGCTGCACCACCCGCCGGCGCCGCACCACGAGAACGCGGCGTGGAAGGGTTTCGTGGAGGGCGGCGTCGCGTCCATGGTCGCCGGCGTCGCCACGCATCCGCTGGACCTCCTTAAAGTTCGCATGCAGGTGCGTCGCACTCATGCAAGGTCCATCGCTCCAGCATGGAGGTCGGTCGTACCCATGGTTGCATATCAGCGATTGCATGCCCTACCTCCCTCCTCCCTCCTCCCTCCTCCCTCCTCCCTCCTCCCTCCTCCCTCCTCCCTGCTTCGCATCCAACCCTAAGATCTTCCATTCCCCCACTCGTTAATGCCTTTCTTTCAGCTTTTAGGCGAAGGTTCTGCAAAAGCGGCGGCGGGGGCAACGGGGGCGCCGGGCGGGGCGCTGCGGGTGGCGGCGGAGGTGGTGCGGGAGAACGGCGTCAAGGGGCTCTTCACCGGCGTCTCTGCGACCATGATGCGACAGGTGGGCAGGCCGGCTTGAAAGAGGTTGGAAAATCACCAGATAAAGAATGGGGATGTAACGTTGTGCTCCACGCCGCTGACCATATTCGCGCGTCCCTCTTCAGATTCTGTACAGCGCGACGCGCATGGGGATCTACGACGTCTCAAAGCAGAAGATGAAAGAATAGCCGCACATAGATGTCTCGCGGGCTGTAATCCGTCCTTATCTCGCCCTCTCTCCGCTCTCCTCGGATCCCCTGCCTCCCCCTCCCCCCCTCCCCCTGGCTCTTCAGATTCTCTACAGCGCGACGCGCATGGGGATCTACGACATTTTGAAGCACAAGATGGAGGAGCAGCCGCACATGGCGCCGGGCGGGCTGCCCATGTACAAAAAGGTCGGCGCGGGGCTCGTGTCGGGCGCCATTGGCGCGGCTGTTGGCAACCCCGCTGACATGGCCATGGTTCGCATGCAGGTGCGTGGGTGAAGAGGGGTTAGGAAAGGTGCATGACGATACATGGCGCCGGGTGGGCTGCCCATGTACAAGAAGGCCGGCGCGGGGCTCGTGTCGGGCGCCATTGGCGCGGCCGTGGGGAACCCTGCTGACATGGCCATGGTCCGCATGCAGGTGCGCGCGTGTGTGCTGACGTGGCCCTTGTCTTGGGGAAATGATCTTTGTCGTAAGCCTAGGAGGCTCCATCCGCACATGCCACTCACCTGCCCCAAGTTACATCATGGCTCTGCACCACGTCATGTTTCCTCATCTCCCCTCCATTCTCTCCTTACGAGACGATACAAAAGTCATTCAAGTGGCACCTTCCTCGCCTGCCCCTCAACGGCCCATATGCAATCAGATGGGCGATTGCCGCTAGCATAGCAGCGCAACTACAGCAACGCAGTGGACGCCAAGCCATCTTCCCCTCC